ATGGGGGGGGGGTGTCCCCCGCCTGTTCAGGCTTGGGGTGAATTGGAACGAGGCTTGGGTCCTGCATGACTGCAGGCAAACTCGCAAGCCCGGTCGATCAGAGGAGAATCTGAATCTTATGAGGAGCTTGGCTTTGTCCTGACAGCAAAAATTTAGAATCCTCGCTCCCCGCCTCCAACTCCTGGCTTTGGATTGGACTTTGGAGCGAAGCCGTAGAGGCAGCATTGGGGATTGGAATCCAATCCCTCCTCTCCACCAATAAAGGAACCACCTTGGACATCGTGGCCCAGCTCCCACAAGGAAAGGGAAGAGCTGGTCTTAGCTACAAAGGGCCTGTTCCTCCTGTCTCCCATCTAACCTCAGGCCTGCACCTGCAATGGGCTTCGCCTGGTAGGAATGTGTGTTCAGAACACCCAAGTCCTGGCGGCCACAGCGTCTGAGCACCTGCACCTCCAAATGAAGCCAGCAAACGCTCAAGACGGCTGAAAACCAGGCCTCCCCGCCCCCAACCTTCTCTGGATGAGCACAACAGGCAGGAGCGGCCTGAGACCGGCTGTGGCAGCTGGCGCCCTAGTTGGAAGGTGCGATCGGCGCCCCCGCCTGCACGGCCGTCAATGGTCATGATATAATCAAGGGGCGCCCGGGTGCCCCGTGACGTCATCATCGGGCGCCCGGGCCGGCGGCAACTGCCTAGTTTGCCTAGGTTCACGGGCCGCCCCTGACAACAGGGCCTGTTCAGCCTGGGTCGCGCCTCCATCAGGTGCAGACATAGCTCAGCGTGCAATGAGTGAGAGGCCAATGGTGGGCAACAGGAAGGCCTCAAACTTGCCGTGCAGGATGTTGGAAGCAAGCAGAGAACCAAGTTCCCCCACCCTCACCATGCTGGGGATTCAGAAATATCCCTTCTCTTACTCCCCCACGCCCACTGCCTGCTACTAACCAAACCCAAACGTAAGGCTCCTCTTGTAACGGTGACAGCTACATCTACACCGGGAGATATTTGAGCACAAGAATCAAAGGAGGATTAAAATCCATATCACATTTACATAGCTCAGTTACTCTTTTTGTTGTATCCACAGTAATACAATCACAAGATATATATATATATATTTCTTTTAAATTACACAATCAATGTACAAAAAACAGGGGCAGTGCTGAGACGACAGCATTTCCTTTACTTTTTCGTTTTCTACTAATGGAAGAAACAGAGCTGAAGGTTGGAGAGGTCTTGTCTATATTATCCCATATGCAGCACATGTATTTGGGCGGGAAGAACACTTGTCACTGGAGTCAATAATTCATGAACTAAACAGATTGAGGAGGAGGTGGAGGGGAGGTGGATGATGAATTTGAAAATGATGGGGGTATGGCATGAAAATAAATAAAGGGATGATTGGTGGCATCCTGTGGAAAAATCGGTGGTGTGTGTGTGTGTGTGGGGGGGGGTATTTTCTTACGAACTGCTCAAGGGGTGGGGGTGAGGAATGGCAGATAGCCTGTTCTCCATATGCCCCAGTGGTCCATATGGCATTTGAATCTGCTATATATAATGTTCTGTCATTTCGCTGCACCTCCAAGATCCAAGCTGGTCTTGATGGAGGCTGTTTGTGGAGGAACGTAGCTAGATGCTGAAAGGAGGCTGCTGGAAAAGGGTAAACTCAGCTGCGATGCATGAAAGGCCTGTAGGGGCATAGGAGGCTTCTACCAGCCCATATAGTTTTGTCCTGAAGAGGCGGGAGACGATGCGTCTGGCTCGGAATCTCCTGAATTGCTCTTCTTTGCATTCGGCGATGATGGAACCTGTCTACTGCGTGCCCAGGGATTGGGAAAGGACAAATGTGGTGAGATAACAGGTGACCCAACTTCATCGCCGACAGGAGGAAGCAGCTGGGATAACCAGGCTTGCTTTTGCTTGCTTCTCTCCTGGGTGGGGTAATGCTGTTCCTCAGAGAAGCTGTTCCTCCCTGTGGGGATTTGCTGGTAGGCCCATGCCAGGGCTATCAAATAGCAAACACAGATGGAGCCGAGACCTAAACATCTGCACTGTTTGGATAGAGGGTTTTAGGTTCAGGTTCATCTCTAATGCAACAGGCGGTCATGACAACGTGAGCAGCTGTGTGGTTTAATCTTCTCGTCTCCTCTCCCGTGGACGAGGGTTGTTGGTGTTATCTCAGTCTGAAGGCCAAAGCCGCTGAGGAATGGCCATTCTTTTCTCTCAGGGGACTCTTGACCCTTTGAACAGCTCCTACCTGCTTGTCTCTGATCAAACCTTCAAAGGGAGATGCTCTAAGGAGGACTGTTTGCCATGGGATGCAAGGCTGCATTTGAGTAAAGCGGAAGCACGTGTCCCTTTCTTCCATGGTCCATGCTTTGCTATCATGGCGTGCGGAGGGTTAAAGAGCTGAGATGTAGCATTTGACAAAGGGATTGTTGCTTCATAGTCGTGGGATGCTGCCTTTGTGGAACTGCCCCGATGGAAGAAGCCACAGGGCTTTCCCCGAGCACAGTTACCGATAGGCGTGCTGGGCTTAGCAGGGTCAGCTCCTTCCGCAAGGGGCTACAGCGCTGTACTGGACCCTTCCCTCCATGGAGCAGAGTAAAAACCAATCCCCAGCAGCTTTCATGGTCAGTGAGGAGACCCTGGTGTTTTAGCTTTGCCGTTCTCTTCCATGTGGTATTTGTTCTTCGGTTCCTACACCCCTGCCTTTAGGCTCAGAATCCATTCCACGCGCACCGATCCAGTCCCACGTTCTCCCTCCACACCCCCATGCCAGGTGTGCAAAGCTGTCCAGCTAAGTTCTTCTTAGCCTTGTTACCCCCACCTAAGGGAGGGGTCTTCTCCTGTCCAACGCCAGTGCAGGCATCGTCTATTGAACCCGTCTCGCCTGGGATTCTTCCCCCGGGGTCCTAGGCAGGGCAGTGGTGCAGAGCACCTTCCTCATTATGCACCCAGTCAGCATGGCAGGACCCTCCTCTCCATGCCTCCTGCACCACCCAGCAGGTGGCTGGGGGTAAGAACCTGCACGTGTAAAAGGAATCTCCTACATCCATTCACTTCGGGTTGGATTAAACATAAATCTGGTCTCCAGGGCAAAGAACTGGACAGTAAAGTCTGCTCCTGGCTTAGTTTGGTGGCAGAAAAATAGTTCCCATGATGGTCCCTGGTGAGACTTCTTTCCCAGGAAGGAAGTCCTCATCCAGGCCCCAAGATTCATCTCTGAATAGTCCCAGCTCCTGTTGCTGCTACGAAGAGGTTTCCAACAGCGGTGAAGAAGTGAGACAAAAACTCCAAAGACTCAAATACAAGGGGTGATGCATTTCAAGCCTGGTTCACTCCTACCCAGAGTGCAGGCCTCCATTAGCTTTCACAGACCTACAGTGTAGCAAACATCCACAAAGAGAGAGCAGGAGTCCACGTTATTGTTCCAGGCCCATGCCTGCCTGTGCCCCAGCGAGCCC